GCGGTTTTTGGTTGAATCCCAGGTAATTTGCAAAGCTGCCAAGCGAGGCGCATTCAGCCAACAGGGGTAGGTGCTGGGGGCAGGTTCAGGCTCATCACTTGGCCATCTAATGTCTAACTGCATTTAGCTGTCAAGTCAACTTGTTTACGCTAAATGCAGTTGGCAGTCGCTGCCGCTGCCGCTGCCACTGCCACTGCCATCTGCCGCTGCGTTGGCGTCAACTACCGTAGCTAAAGTTGTTTTTTGGGTCAGCCGCATCAGCACGCGCCTCGCGCTTATATAATTGCAACAATAACAACGACAAAAGAGCATAAATCATATGAAGTGCGTATCTGCCTTGGCCTGGCCAATTATGCAAGGCGCGTAAATATTTAGCCAGCTTGTGTACAACAAATAGTGAAAATCGGCTTACAACCTAGCCAAAGTCAAAACAAACTGCAACAAATGTTGTACTTTTTTTTTGGCTTAAACGAAGCATATATAAACAACCGGCATTTAAAATTTACGATGCCTACGTGGCATTAACTAGCGTCGGGCAACGTGACTTTCAGCTCAAACATATAGCATAAATTAAATAAACCGACTGCACCGAAATTACGCCCAACATATCTTAAAGATATATCAAAGATCTCCCCCCAATAAGGCCAAAACGTGAGCGGCCACTTGCAATGAGCGAAGCGAATCTGCAGCACATTTCAGTTTTCCAGCTTTAATTTGGCGGAAAATAAAAACACATATACCATATTCAAAAGTAAATGGGTATTGTATTTTACTTGTATATATTGTATAGTCAGACTGCGTACAGGGGTTACAAAGCCAACGATGGTTCGGTTCACGGTACAAAACATACCCTGGTCTTAAAGTTTGATTTGTACTATTCAATTCAGTTTTTTTTATTCACCTAATTAGGTTTAGGGTTTGTTTTATGGTAAACACAAAATTGAAATTCCCCGCTCAAAACGGTTCGGTTCAATCGGCTTGATACCTTATTTAACTGATGAATCTGTACTGATCGATTTTGTTGGGTACACTTCAATTTTTGATATCTTAGCTTCAATAATTTAAAAGTTAAGTTTGGAACCGGTTCACAAGCATTTAAAGTATTATTTGAATAACACCTTTCAAAATAAATATTTCTTATTGCAAATATATCTGTATCTAAAGTATCCTACTTAATATAATTTTTTAAGAAAAGAATAATACCATCTTATCGAATTAAGATATAGATTAATGTCGTTTTTTGCTTTACACCCCATCTGTCAATTGCCTAATGGCCCAACTTTTTCGTTTACTGTAAGAAATAGATTGAGGTCAGAATAATATACAAGTAAAATTAATGTTGCGCAAGATATAAAACGATTTGTATGCCAGTGTCATAGATCAATAAAAAGATTGCAAAAAATAGTTTATCATGATTGTTCTGATTGGACTGAATGTGTTTTGAATACAAAACTAGTCTTGCAATTCGAAATCCATTTATTATATGACTTTCAATTTATGATCATATGATGTTAAAAAAACAAGTTTGATTGATTTTTTATATAAGCCGATCTTTTTTATGTGCTTTATCTAAATAACATTAATTTTGGCAAAATCTCGAAGCACGTCACTGTTCCAGTTTATAAGCCATAATTAATTTATTTTCAATATCAACTCAATTTATCAGTTGACTTGACAAACACAATAACAAATACAAATTACCTGGCGTCAAATACGATTGCCTCTCACTGCACTCTCTCAGCAGCAGCTTCTCTCTCTGTCTCTCTCTCTCTCTCTACATCTGTCTTTCTCTCGAGCATAGCACAGTTTGCGAGCAACTGTTATACACGCCAACAGAAACTGATTTTCAAATGCCCAGAGACATTTAAACGAAACTAGTTTTCCTTTTGTGTGTTTGGGCGTTAGAGACGTCAGCGGGGGGCAACGGTTGCCGTCAGCTGTTTGGCTCTAGACTTGGCTCAAACGCTTAGCTGCAGTGCGGAGCGTAGACAGCTCGCTCAGTTAGTCTTAGCCGGCACGTCGCGTTGTGTGCACCTCGACAAAAGTTTTTGTGATACGGTTGGTTTTTCCAGCGGCGAGACCCCCCTCAACGCGTTGCCTGGCCCCATATCTAGAAACTATTGTACAATACACATTTGCACAGCTGTTGTCGAGTTTCTTGGGTGTTGTGTGTGTGCGTGTGTGTGTGTTGTATAGTTGGTATAATTGTATTCGAATGCAAAAGCCATCAAAATTAGCAACAATTTCTATTGCTATTTGTTTAATTTGTTGACGCCATGCAATTTGCGCTAGAAAAAACAAGCTGAACACTAAAAACGATCTGCGCTTACGTAATACTATTTGCCTTTGGCTGTTGTTATGCGAATTTATTCAATTTTTTTTTGCAAATTTATTTTTTGCGAATTTGTTTTGCGAATTTTTGCAAATGACTGCGTCGATTTTCTAGCAATTTTATTTGTGATTTGGGGCAGAGCATTTATATTTTCTGGCGATAAGTAAATTGCAAATTGCCGGCGTCATCAGCCACGTTTGAGTTGCTTTCTAGCTCAACAGCAGGTGCAAAGTGCATACAAAAGACTTAAGCAACAAACTTTCCTTTCCCCTCCTTCATGCTACAAAAGTCGCTCAGCGTTTTGCCATAGTGTAATGCTAATAAAGAAGTAAAAAAATCGTAAATAATCATAAAAAATAAAACAACAACTTACATCACAAGCAGCTCGCAAGTCGCTGGCACACTTTTCGCAGCTGCAACAACAACGAATGCGCAGGAAAAAAAATGCGCACAGTCGCTGCATTTAATTAATCAAAAAGAGCTTTTGCTTTTATGAATGAGCGAAGTAAATCAGTGAATATGAGTGAATGAGTGAGTGACTTATTGTGGGGCCCTACCCTTGCTTTAACTTTTGTCATCCTGCCTCAGAACTGCGACTGCTGCGCCGCTGCTCTCGCTGCTGTTGCTGCCTCACATGCTACAGCAAACAACATAAATTATGAGCGACTCAAGGCGGCTGCTCCTACAGCTACGAAGTATTCATAGTATATAAAAATATGACTTATTAATAAAAACAGACAACAGCAGCAACTTAGGGCCCGAACGGCAACAACAACAACTTAATAAAGCCAACAAGCTGCTGGCGCCAGCGGCTGCCATCAACTTGCAGAGAATCGAGACCAGAGTAGTTCGGAGATCGGAGGCACTGCCCCGTCGTAAATGTTGATGTTTTGTTGATTTTTCATTAAATGTGTTAAATATGCCAAGTGTAGGACGACGCGTGTGGGTTTTTCTCATTTTTTTTTAGCTGCACTTGTTTGCAACGGTCTACACAGGTTGCTGCTACTGCAGCTGACTGCTAAATAGCTAACTTATTCCATTTTCTGAGTTTATTACTTAAATAGTGGCACTCATTTTAGCTGATTTGACTACATTATATGTTATAGTTTCGAATCGATTTGCCACGTTTCTAAACTGGTGCTGCTAGATTATTAAACGCCCTAAATTTGCAATTAATGGACAGCTAAACGTCAGCTTCACCGAGCATTCCTCGCTTACCCATCTGCTTTTTTAATTATGCAGTTGGAGCGATACACTCACTTTACAGGTACTCTGTATGTGGCACACGTTTTGCGCTTATGTTGTTTCATACTTCATTTGCAGCATGCAATAATTGCGGGGCGTACAAATTAATGTGCAGACAAGACGCTCCCAAAAACGAGAGAGTGAAAGAAAAAAATGGAGAAGCTAAAAAAGTTACCGTAAGATTGGCCATCAGACAGTGAGCACTCTTGGTATCTGCCCTTTTTTTAGGGTGTATGCGGAAACAACTTTATTACAAACAAAAATTACAAAAATAAATTGCCAGAACACAAGCCTTTTGTTTAACTGGACGGACATGCGGAGCATAAAGAAGCGATAGCTGTCTGATAAGGGGCCGCAACAGTTTGCTAGAGTTTGACACATGGACGTTTCTAGTGACTGCTGCTGAATGGCCCAAATAATTGGACACCCACGAGCAAGGTCAGGCCAAGCTGCATAAGCAAGTTCGTTGCCTAAGTTATTCGGGTTTTTTTCAAGAACTACCAAAAAAGCAGCCACCTAAAGGGCAAAGTTTAACGTGTTTAATTAGCATAGCAACCAAGCAAATCGAATGAGTCAAAGCTGACGCCTATAAAATTAGCCCACTCGCACCGCTCGGTGCCAGCCAGCGAAAGTTCAGCAAAAGCTTGAGAAACTCCATGAAACATGTGTAGAAATAAAATGCTTAAGACGCCTACAAATGCTATCAACCTGTGAATGTGAGTGTGTGTGTGTGTGTGTGGGTGTTGTAGGCGTGTAATGTGCGCCTGACACCAAAATAGTTAAATGTGGAAATACAAGAAATTCAAGTGAATATCAAGCGCAAAAATTACGTCAATCAAAAAGTCAAAGCAACTGGCAACCAGCAGCCAGCAACTGGCAGCGCGCCAGCCGCAGCCAGCAAATATCAAAGCTAAAGCTAAGAAAAAATGTTTTCTGCAAAGGCGTCCATACAACAAAATGTGAAAGAAGAAAAAAAATGTTGCCTGGTTTTTTCTGCTTTTTTTTTTGCCGCTGAGCGGTCCAAGCCAAAAATGGACCATGCAGAGCCACAGCAGCAGCAACAGCAGCGCAGTTAGCAGCGACGTAGCAGCGCAGCGTGTGGGCAGCAAAGTTGCCTAACAACCAACAACAGCAACACGAACAACACCAACACGAACAACACCAGCACGAACACTAGTCTCAAGTCTCCACTGGTCGTCAAAGACGACAACTTCGACGCTTCGGGATCGGGCTGCAGCTCCAGCCTCAGCTCGAACCAAAGGCGAATTCGAATTGTGTTTCAGTTCGTTTTTAGCGCGCGTGCGGTGCGGTTCTCTCTCTGTCATTCATTCAACTGGCTTTCAACTTCTCGATCAACAGCTGAACAGTGTGCGGAGCTCTGAGGTCTGCAGTCAAACCATCATCAGCAGCATCTGACAGCCAATCGCAAGGCAAATTTTATTTGGTTTTTCAAAAATCTGCACCGTTTAATTACAGTGAAAGTTTTGTGAGGCGTTCGCAGAAATAAATTTTTCAAATTTTACCAGTGAAAATTTCAAGAAAAACCCCCAAAACGCAACGCGGCGCGCGCAAATCAACGGCACCAGCCAAGTGTTAAAAGAAAAGCGTCAATATTTCTGAAATATAACAACAACGAAAATACCAAGTGTCTGTGCACAACTCAGTGTGTGTGCGAGTGTGTGTGCGTGTGTGTGCACTGCCTGAGTGTGCTTGTGTGTGCGTGTGTTTCAAAGCGCATTTGGCAGCTGTGCCGCAGCCAAAAATCAAAGTCTCAAAACAAATTTTGCTGGCGTTGTTTTTTGTTGGCAGCTGTTGGCAGTATGAACTGATTTTGACCGAATTTTGATGAAGAAAATGGTGAGCAAATGTTTATTACTCTTGTCATGGTGTAAAATTTAAGTAAAGCAAATAAAATTTACAAATCAAATTAACTTTCAGCTGAAATTAAAGAGTTGAGACTAAGGTGAAATATTTCAATTTAAATAAATATTTTCGTGAAGGTTTCAACAAAGATTTTAGGAAGATGTTGTGAAATAAAAATACCACACGTTCTCATATAAAAGTTTTTTTTTTTATCATAAAAGTATACAAATTCTTTATGAATTTGCTTCGTAATAAAAACTGGCTTTTGATAATATTTTAAGCAAATAATTTAAATATTTTTAGAAGTTAAAATGTGAATCATTTAAAAATATTTATTGAAAAGCCCATGACTTATTTTCTAGTTAGAAATTTGTGAGCTCACTTAGTGGCTGATACAAAAACCCATTAAATTTAAATAACAAACGACCGTTGTCAAGTTCGAAAATCCCCAACCAAACCCACAACAAGCAAAAACATTTCACTTTCATTTGTGCAAATCTCCCTTCCCTTGGTCAATTGTTGTTGTGACACGCAGATGAAGATGAGGATGAAGATAATTGTGTGGATGCCTTGTCACTAATGTTGTTTGTTTTCTCTGCAGCGCGCAAATAGGGGAAAATATGACAAATAATTGCTCGAAATGCCCGCTTGACACACTTTTAAAGCCGTCACCAAATAGAAATTCAAAATATTTGTCCAGCAAATGATGGAAGAAAACAAAAAAATAACAATAATAAAATTTACAAGTAACCAAAAATAAAATTTGGCGTTAAGGTCGTCGCACCAAAATCTTTAAACGAGGCGGCTTTGTCTAATATGGACTTGTGGGTTGCTGATTGAAAGCTCGAGTGCTGTGGCTCAAAGACGCACATTGGCAACATTTTTACTACCCACGACTTCGGCATAGTTTATTGACGAAGTTTTGAGCTTATCTTGGCATTTGTTTTACTTTTATTTTTGCTTGGCTTTTTTTCGGTCAAATGCAAAAACTACCACTGCTTGCTACAGGCTGCAACTTGAGCTCATTTGTCAGTCGGCGCCAGTTCGGACTTGCTGCTAGTCATTTGTAAAATTCATTGTTTAGCAATCTTCACAGTCGTGTGTTGGGATTTTTTTTTATTTTTTCACAAGTTCGTGGCTCATCTGTGGGCCGCGGCGGGAAGATTCATCCAACCAACTGACTGACAAACTAACTGACTCGCTTTGGCTGCTTTGTTTTGTTTTCTTCAGCTGTTTAAATTTTTGCGTTGTGAAGCTGAAGCGAAGGTGCAAAACTTTCACTTTATGTATTATTGTTTTGCGTGCGAGCTGCGGCTCAACGCAGCCTCGGAACTCAGAAAGAAATTGCAATATTAATGACCATAAATTATGAGCCTGACTCAGTTCCCCCCATTTGCTGCGTGGGCTGAAATTGCCGCTATTAAAAGGGCGAAAAGGTCGAAACACAAAGGTCGCATGTAATTCTACGCAAATACAAGAAAGCCTGACTTAAGCTGCACAACAATGTAGGGAATCTTAAATCGAAAGAATTAAGAGACAAACTTAAGTTGCAATAAAATGATTTTTCTGTGTGTGCTTATCCGAAAGAAAACGAAAATTTTACTACCCCAATCTGTTTCACGATTTTACCATGAGCGTAACTTCTTTTTGACTAGTAGCTTCCCCAAAAGTCACGACTTATACGTTCGATTGCCTCACCCAATTTGTTTTTTTTTTTTGCATGAGTTTAAACATTCGGTGGGTATACATATATATTTCTTTTTCGAAGCATTGACATTGTAAAATTCATTTTAATCAAAAAATATATCATAAGATCATTTGTTATTATAATGCTTTAGGCCTTAATCGCTTTAGCTGTCATTTAGATGGTAGTTTTTTGTAATTAATCAAAAATTTGTTACACATTATGTTAAAATATGCTAGACCCATATTTTTAAGCTGTACATAAGTTTGAGCTTGTTGTTTTTTGCACATATTTTTCATTATCTTATGTTTTTATATATACGTGTATCACATCTCCTTTAGATGGTGCATAAAAGAAGAACTTGAGTAAAGTATACCTTAGTATACCTTACCTTGCAAGTTAACAACAATTTTTTGTAGTAAATAGATCCTGAAAAAAACGTTCTGTAGCTTCTAGAAAACAAAAGACTTAGGCAACAAACTTTTTGAGTCCAACTCGAAAGTGGATCACACTAAAAACTAATCGATTTAAGCTCAAAAAGCCTTCAAGAACTGACTCATGCACCACCTTTGGCCACATCAACTTGTATTGTGCACCCCACACAGTCTGTTGAACTTTAGTGGCTGCGGCTCAAGGCCATTCCCACCGCCAGCGCAAAAACTCGCACGAAAAGCCGCAGCAGCCGCAAATTCTAATAAATTTTGCAGAAAAACCAAATCAATTTTTTTTTGCACGGTCTTCTTTTACGGCAAGAATTCTCATAAATTGTGTACGACCAAAAAAGTCAAAGTGTGTGCGCGCCCACAAGCAGATCAACGAGCGTCAGATCATTGTTGGAGCAGACGATGGTGCCACAGTTTCATCTAACAGCAGCAGCACCAGCAGCAGTCGCATCATCATTAGTCAGACTCAGAGTCAGAGCCAGAGCCAGCCAAGGCTGTAGTCGGCTTTTACGAGTAGTTTGGCTAAATTGGCGTGTGGTGGGCGTTGTGCTGATTGGAAAAGATTTTGTTGCGTGGGCTGCCTCATGACACAATCGTTCAAAGCTGAAGCCACTTGAAGTGTGTTTTTCGTGGCTGACTTGCACTTGTTATGCGTTTTCGATTTCTGGACAAGAGGGCAACCTACTTTCACCAGAACTTGGTTTCGTTTTCAATGCCTTATACGAGTGGTAGTCCCAAAACTCTTGGGCTTTCAGCAAGCTGTCAGCCACTGCCAGCCGCAGACAAAACCAGAAAAAAAAAACAAAACTAAAATAAACGAGCATCAGGCGATCTGCAAAAAAAAAAGAAAGAAATATGCGCTCAAAAGCAACAAAAGCGAAAGTAAAACAGCGACCAGTTTTTTTCCTGGTTTTTTATTTTTTTTAGGGCTGCCGGATCGAAATGATGTCATGACTAAAAAGGAATTGCCAAAAATTAAGCTTTTTCTGTTGCCTGTCTTGTCTGCATCTGGGAATTGCAGACACCAAAATTGTAGCAATGAAAAGGTACAGAACGGACTGAAGGACGGACACTGTTTTGTTTTATGCAAAATCATGCAAACTGAAACTGAACTGTGAAACAAATGCAAAAGTAGCCAGACGACTTTGGCCCAGCCCAGTTCCAGTTACAGTTTCAGATCCGTACAAACGCCAACGTCAGACTTTTTGTTTTTTTTTTCATAAGCTTATGCCGGTGCCAGACCCTGAGCCGAAACGACGCCTGCATATAACTTGCTGTAATGCCGTTTTTATATTTCATTTTAAGAAATCCACAACAAGCCTTTAAATTTATGACTCATATTAGTTGCCACAAGCAACAGCAACTGCAACAAAAAAAAAAAAACACGGAACCTTTTAGATTGCAATTTGCAACAATTATCGCTGCAACGGCAAAGCACCAAAGCACCAAAAACCCGTTCAGACACTTAAGATTGGCGCCCAATTAACGGCGTCATTTAACTTTCAAACACAGTAACAATCGTAAAAAAAAACCCCGCTGCAATTGCTACTTGCAACGGGAGCTCTGGCAAGTTCGTTACCTAAGTCTTTTGTTAGCGCCTGTCAAGTGCAATCGGGCTGCCTAATAACTTCATTTAAATTAATCTAGTTAATCACCTCGGTGCGTATGTTAGCAATTTAAAATTCAATTACATTTGCCGCTGCGTTTGAAGTTGCGACCACATAAACAATTTGCATGTGGCCCCCATGTGTGAGTCTGTGGCAGCAACATCCTGTCGCCAGCCCGTCATATCCTGTGAGCCGGCCGTAAATTGCAAAAACCGCATATGCTAATCAACTGGCATAGAGGCTGGGGCAAACCGCAATTATTAAACTACACTTACATGCCTATGCACTCGGCCTAATCGAATTGCCTACTGAAGTCTGAGGGTCGCTTCTTGCCCAATGCTCAGTGGCTAGCTGCAGGCCTGTCACTGATACTAGACAACAGCAGCAGCAGCAGTAGCAGCACTTGACGCTTCTCGCTAATTGAGCCGACTGGGCTTTAATGAGGGTTGACAGGCGTTTGCGGTAGTTTGTAATACATATGCATGAAGTTCTTGTATGTATTTATTATAATTAACCGCTAGAAGGGCGAAAGACAAAAGAACTTTGCCTAAGTGTTGAGTAAGAATCCGGGCCTACACAAGGAGTCTGTTGTGAATTACACGGAGTTTGACTTTAACTGTGAAAACTACTTGACACAATTGATTATAACTATCTTAATATAGCTCCTTAATGATAGATCCTTAATTTATTCTTTCTAGTCGCAAAGGTTCAGCTGTATTATATTTCTGAATATTTTTGATTGACAAAGTTGAAACTGTAGGTTAAAAGTGCCAAGTCGAGCTTACTTTGAAATCGTCTCCTTAATGTCTTCTGTATGGACGAAAGGTTTTTCTTAATTTAAACATATTCGCTTGTCATACGGATATTTCCATCAGGCTTGCTTGAAACCATTTAAAGAAGTTCATCTTAAAGTTTTTTGGGCTCTAATCCACTAATCAAATGATATCTGTAGATACGGGCGAACCTCCGTTTGATACTGCTTTGTACAAGCTTCATAGCCGCGTCAGCACTTACATAAAGCGATGCCCGTATACCATAGCAGGTCCCAAGACAATCAACTAGATACGGAACTTGTTAGCTATATTCAAGCTTCACTATACTACTCTTAAGTCTTGCAGCAGCTGCTTGAAACATGGTTACCCAACTTTGAGCAGTGCATTTGCTCAAGATTAAAGTGTACTTCAGAACGTCAGCTCTTCTATAGATCACCTCGCTTTAAATAGATTCCATGCCCGCAGAAAAAATAACAATGTCTGTTTA